ATTACACTAATATAGCATAACTATAATATAATAACTTATTATTTAATAACTATATTATAGAAGTATATTAGTATAAAGATGCAGCTAAAGATAATATATTATAAGTAATAGCAATAACACTAGTGCGTGTTATAATATAACAAGTGCACAAGTTGCATGTAATAATATACCCTTTCTATCTATAATAATATATTTATAATATATTAGCTTTACTTATAACCTTATCTACTATAAACGCCGCCTTTGTTCCTAACACTATCCTATAGTTAATTTAGGATTTAAGATCCTATTTACACAAAATACTAGAACTATATAGTGTCTGCCTATAGCTAAAATTAGTAAGTAATAATCTAATTATAGTGTAGGTAGTAATATATACGCCTAAAGTGTTTGCCCTATAGATCTACACGTTTATAGTTAGTAAGAAGGGTATTAACAACCTTAATAAGTGTATCTACAAGGCTATAGATATATACTTTAATATAATCTAAGACTAACTATTTAGCTATATTTCTAACTCTAAGTAGACTAATATATAGGACACTATCCTTACTAAGTATCTATTTTTTAGATATTTTAATAGAGTATAGGTATTAAAATAGCTTATATAGTAGACCTAGATATATAGGAATAAGAACTAACACTCTAAACTAAAACGCAAGTATATTATCTACCTCTTTAAATACACTAATCTTACTATTATAAAGGAGCTGTTATATATAATTATGCTATACTAGGTAATAGTATTACTACCCTAATTACTTAAACGTTCGCTATCCTATAAGGCCCTAGCCTAGGGAGGTCTATTATATATAGAGGTCTATGTAGATACTAGTAGCTAATATCTAACTTTATTTATAGCAGTTTAGGTATATACTATAACTGCGTAGTAGCCTAGTTAGGATTCTATAGTAACGCTCCCTAATATTTAAACTAAGACTTATTATAGGCTATAAGTAAGCTAGTATTACCCTATCCTATTAAATATATATAAAGATAACGTCTACCCTAAACTAAATATACTAGTAGTATTACTAGCTTTAAAGACTAGGGTGCCTAGGATAGTAATAGTAGCATTTTTAGGGGTTAGTATCCTAACCTAATAGTTAGTGTGCCCCTAGCTAGCAGTGTTAGATTATAATAAGTACTAGTATAGCTAGATATAAGACTATAAAAGTAAACCTATTTATATAGTATACTAGCCTAACTAAATAATTCTACTCTAGACACTTATAAAAACACGCCTATAGAAGATAACTATAATATACTACTAGACATGCAATAACGCTAACCTTATACTATTATAGACTCTCTAATAGAGACTTTAGATTCTACTCTACTAATATAGACTTATAAGAATACATATATTAGGAATATAAAGGCTAGGCGCAACTATATAACTAAAGCTAAGGCTAAAGGTAATAGTAATAAGAGAAATACTTCTAGAGTGTAAGGCCTAAAATTATAGCAGTCTCTAATATAAACTAGAGTATCTATTATAGATGCCCCTTATATAGATAGTAGTAGTATAGGAGAGCTAAATAATAGTAATAGTAATAATAGTGTCTAGGTTTATAGATAATTATAACGTAAGAGGGTCCTAACTATACAAGTTAAATAATATATATATATAATATTAGTATATATAAATAATATAATATAATATTACTATATATCCTATACTATATAAGCTTACTATATTATACTACCCCTTTACTACTATATATAATATAGTATATATAATAATATATACACATGCCTAACTTTAAACTAATATACTACTAAAGAAACCTATAATATATATAGTATAAGCAACTAACTTACCCTAGAATATTTATAACATAGAGTATAATCTTTAGTAATACTACTATACTATAATATAGAAGTGTTGTCGCAATAGGCGCCTTTATAGAACTTACTAACCTATTATTATAGGATATTTTAGATTATAATTTTATATACTAGGTATACTACCTAGTCTCTTAGTTATTGTTATAGCATACCTAGGCAGCGGTATACTGCACGCCTATACTACCTAGGTATCTACTAGTACTGCTTCCTGCATAGTAACCCTACTAAATTATGCCTACTACATGCCCTCTATCTATACTAAATTTTCCCCCTAGGTACTATATATCTGTCTACTATATAACCTATAATTAGGTATATTATATAAACTATGTTTAAATAGACACTAAAGTTAATATATATAATACTAATAATATATAAACTAAAAAGTAGTTTACCTTTATAGAATATATAGTATAGTAAACCTTATTTAGGTTTACTTCTCGTACTTAAACTACTTTGTGGTCTACTTTAGATAAATATGGCTACTGTAAACCGGTTTTGTACCGTAGTGCTTGTACGAAAGGACAAGAAGAACTTGTTTATCTATCTATAAGCATAAGGCGCCTTTTATATGTGAAGGCAGAGAGGGACTCGGACCAGAGTCGGGGCGGTAGGTATCGGCACTGAGCTGGGTCAACTGCGCTGGTCTAAGATGGAACGAGCGTTGCACTCGTTACAACTGTGACCAGGTCGAATAACATTTGCCGATCTGTAGCACGGAAGAAATGAGGCAAAAGTAAGTTCTTCTACCTCGCCGCCTTTATGGAATCCATATGGTGGAGTGTTGATATTGCGACTCGATTTTTACTTCACTGCCTGCTACTCCCCCTCCTTGATATCTACCAAGGCTGCAATGATAAGCACAAAGGCTAAGTCATGTATTGAAAAAGCACTCCTTTTGTTATTTCCTCAAATCAGTCTGTAGTTACATAGTTGAGGGATTGCCCTTTCTCCACAATTAAAATTAGCATGCCCTTCCGTAGGCGATTATATTTTGCATTGTCAAAAATTAGTAAAATTAATTAGGTGTGTGAATGGAACATGTTGCGCAGTAGGTCTTCTACACAGGGGTTTGTTAGCAGTTAGTTATAACACGTCAAGAGACTAGACAGGCAAGAACTTACATCGAGATCACCGAGACCGCAGCCTTTAGAAAACCCACCCAAGGGTCCGCCAGCGTCCTCTCCTGTCATTTGGGCCAGGCGACACTCTCGATGAATATTGTATTCAGAAGATCTAATGTCCTTACTCTGACACTATAATAGAGGTTAGACTTCTCTGTCGTACATAGTTGTGATTACGGAAATAAATGTACGCAGCTAAATGATTTGTTGCGCTGTTTTAAATTAGTGCTTAAGAAGTATCATGAGGAACTCAATACGTACACCACAAACCCAACCCGCTGGAAGATCTTCAACAGCCGGTAAACAATTTAGTTGCCTTAGTTCCTGCCCAGATACTAACTAGAGCCTGAGCTAGCATAGCAGT